ATGAGGTTATTTACCCCACAATCTCATCTATATTGTGTAAGTAACAATTAAGTTCAATGTAGCATTATACCTTTGTGATCAAAAAGTATCGGAAACAGTGGCGTACCGTGGGTGTCAGCCGCCTGGGGCGGAGGAAAATTTCGGCCTCCCTTATTTAGGTATTTCAATTTAAAAGACCGAAATTCAGTTTTTCACAGAACAAGCAATGAAAAATTCGGTGGTAGTGCAGCGACCTGTTTAAAATAGTTCTATTGGATATTAGTGGTGTATATGAATGCGAATGAATCGTAAGGAAAAAAGGTCAACAGGTTTCGCAGGATTTCCTCGGATGAAAAGATTACTAGTTCACCCGGACGGCGAGCCGGTTCCCGGACTGTCCGGACGATAGCACTATCGTAGGCGTGATGCAAGTATACATTAGGATGTTTCAAATTTCCGGTTTCCAACTGTAATTCCACTGGAAAATGGTCCGAAAATGAGAGAGACCCAACACGAAAGGATTCAACCTTATGAACAAGATTCTGAGAAACGACTATAAAGTCTATTACCGAGCTACCCACTTTTGACAAAAAAGTTAGTTCACCTGGGAAATCTCCCTTAGTACGACCATTAAGGAGAATAAAATCGTGTTCAATCAACCAATTCAGAAACTGTCTCCCGGCCGTGTCAACCTTTAAATCCTTTGACCGTCTGATATCAAAGATGTTGGGAGAAGCTACATCCACATGTGAATCAATTACTTCACTAATATGGACGTTAAAATCGCCCATTATCACAATTCCATTGTAGTACGAAAACCAAGAATTCAAAATAGAAGAAAACAAATCTAAACGTAAGCCCTGCTGCCTCAGCGAACCAGCATATACCACCAACACCAGGATATTCCTAGGTTCGAGAGCCGAATACAGTGATAAACCAATCACTATCAAACTAGGGTAAGTTTCCAATAACTCGAAGTGCCCTCTAACTTTATCAAAAAATAACAAAATACCACCATGGGGTCTACCCGGCCCCAATGGCTTTTCCGCTGGAATCATAAAATACTTCCAGTTAACTGGAAGAAAGTTAGCAAGAGAATCTCCATTCACTGAAACCATCCAGGTTTCAACAAGGGCTAAACAAATTAAACCTGGTCGTTTAGTCATGTAATCCAACAGAGAACACTTGGTGCTAAACCCACAACAATTTTAAAAAACAAAGATTCCGAATAACTACCTGAACCAAACTGGTCCAGGCACGATGAAGTTGAAAGTATCTCCAAACCCATTCTCCTGCGGGGAGGAAAATTCAAAATAAAAAAGAAACAGGCACCTCTATTAAACGATGGCCCGAGGTAGAATACGTGAATCTCTTGTCGTCTACATATAATACGTCATCTCGCAAAAAAACACGACGGCCAGCTTCCCGATATTCTTTTAAGAAAGTAACCAGGTTTTTACGGCGAACTCGGGAATTAAACGACAGATCCGGTGCCAACCTAAATTTCACCGATCTTTCCCTACGCTCTTGTAGAGTTTTCGTCCGAAATTTTTGCAATAAATGATTTCGACATTTCCAGGACGACAACTGTATGCAATAGAATTCCCGAGCTTTATCTCGCAAACGGGAAACACCGACAATATTATGCCCCGACAGATCAGTCACATCTAATTCCTTAGAAAATAGGTTAACAATATAATCCCGCAAATCCAACTCGAGCGGAATACTATGATTAAACAACATTAGATTGCTTCTGTTTGAAGCATTAACTTTTCTATCGTAGGCAAAAGAGTGTAACTCACCAATGTCATCCAAAGGTAACTGCTGTTGCTGTTCCAGTTTATCTAATCGCAAACATAATTTAGAAAAGTCGGTTTCCAATTTCCTTACCGAGTACAAAGTTGACTGGTTGGCCATTTCCTAACTGGCGAGCCTATCTTTGATACACTTCAACTGCAACATTACTGCATTTAAAGTCGTCTCCAAATATTGTCGTAAGGTTAACAATTCTTCTCTATCTGAGTCCGGAGGAGATTGCCTCTTAAAATAATGTTTTAATTTTGGATATTTTACACCCAGATCACTCGGTGAACGATGATACTTAGTTCTCTTCCGTTCTTCTTGGGCTTGCTTTAACGCTTCTGGCGGTGTACGTGGAAACATTTCCGAAAAAATAGAGATAATGACACAGGATTACACAATAAAGCAAAAAAAACAAAAAAATGTACCAACTTAGGTAACAGATAGATAAAAGACTCAGTAATTTACAATAATTCACTTAACAAAATCTCCAACAAAAAGTCACCAGCCGGATGTTTCAAATTTTTATAAGATATTATTATTATTTATTGTGAAATTTTGCTGCCCCTAAAAAGTGCCGCCCGGGGCGGGCCGCCCCTGCCGCCCCACTACGGTACGCCACTGATCGGAAATGGTTCAGTAAACTGTGAGATTTGAGTTTATTCATCAAAACTTATTTTGTTCCCTTCAAAGTAATTACCTCCCACTCCAATGCACTTTTGCCAATGTTTTTTCCAATCCTTGAAATATGCTTTACAGTTGCTTTCATGAAATCCCTTCAGGAATTTTGTTTTATGACATCAGTCAACTCAAAACAGTGCGTATGAAGTGGAAATTTTAGTCGAGGAAACAGGAAAAAGTCACATTGTGCCATATCAGGTGACTATGGAGCTTGTGGAACTGTATTTGTAGAATTTTTGGCCAAAAATTCATGAACAAGAGCATTGTGAGCAAGTGCATTATTGTGCAAAAGCCATGAGTTTTCTTGCCACAAATTGGATTGTTTTCTGCAAATTTCTTCATGCAAACAACTCAAAATGCTCAAATAACAATTTTTGTTGAGGGTTTTGTTTTTATATTGTTTACTTGGACCTTGTTTGTAAATAGGACTTATTATACTGGTATAGTTTCTGATTAGCAAAGAGAGAAAGTCTTAGTCAAAAGGTAAAACAGAATATCTTTATTTTCACATGTACACTCTGTATGTTTCAGACCAGTAGTCCCTTCTTCAGCATTATATAACAATTGTATAAAAACTTTTAAACAATGATATTACACCTGACAATATTTGAGGTAAGATAAAAAATTACTTATATTTTCTTTACTGTCCAATATTAATACAACAATGATACAATATAAAACATCCAAAAAACAGAGTGTAACATAATTATTGTAATGTTTTCTAATTTATGCCTGTATAAAATGATAAAACTATTAAAAAAAAAATAAAGTTTTGTACAAAATGTAACATTTTGCCTTTGTTTTTTTATTCTTTATGTTGGTATTAGTGTTGTATTAATATTGGACAATAAAGATGATGTAACTAATCTTGTATCTTATCTCAAATACATAGCCAAATGAATGCCTTAAATACTCAGGCTCTAAATCTGCTAGTTTTAATAATTAATACTAAATAATTTGCTACTAGAGGTAGACATTAAGTGAAGTGCATCTCTTATCTAAATTAATGATTATAATCATCTGGAAGAAAAGAACTGGCCTGGGGCAGATTTGTAGCCTGAGTATTTAAAGCAATCATTTGGCTATGTATCTATATATTATCAGGCTTTGGGTTTTTAATATACTTGTATTGTTGAGAGTAATATCATTTTTTAAAAGGTTTTATAAAATTATTATAGAATGTTGTAAATCTGCTAAAGAGAAACCTAGAGGTCCAAAACATGCAAAAGGAGCATACAGGTGAAAATAAAACTATTTTGTTTTAACTTTTGACTAAGACTTCCTCTCTTTGCTAATCAGAAACTACACCAGTATAATAAGTAATTGATAAACAAGGTTCAAGTAGACAATATAAAAACAAAAAAGTAAAATATTAAGGACATAGAGGTAAAAAGAATTAATATTCTTTGTTGACAGTTTGGCCAGTCAGAAGGAATTCATGATGGACATCACCAAGACAATTGAAGTCAACATGACCTTGATTTTGGACTGTGGTCTTTTTGATCTCACTTCGCTTTTTGAGCACTGTTCACTCGACTGTTGAGCTGTTTTGGTGTCAAAAGCAAAGATCCATGTTTCATCACCCATAATGATGTATTTTAAGAACAATTCGCTTTGAGAAAGCATTTCTTTAACCACTAGAACACATTTTTAGAAAAAAATTCAATTTTTTCAGGATGACTTGAGAAGCAGTATGCTGCAAGCCCAAATTATCTTTTAAAATTGTTTGACAATAGCGAGGTTGCAGCCAATGTTTTCATCTCTAAAACGTGAATATCGAACGTCGAGCATCACTATCTTGTAAGCTGCACTTGATGTTCGATGTTCGCATTTTAGAGATGAGAACTTTGGCCGCAACCTCGCTACTACCCAAATGATACTGGAACATATTCAATAATGTTTCTAATTGCTAAATGATGATCATTGAGCTGAGCACTAAATCTCTGACTTGAGTGACATGTTCATCAATGGGTGGTTTATTGTGGTTCATCTTCAACATGTTCAACATCTTCAACATGTTCTCTACCTGAACATCTTGTACTACTCAAACTCTTGTTTTTGGTAGACTATCATTACCAAAGGCTTTTTGCATTGTAACATTTTTGTAGCAGTAATTCCATTGTGAAAACAAAATTTAATGCCTGTTTTTTGCCAAATTATACTCGACATTTTGAAAAATCACTGGTGCAAAAATTTTTTACACACAAAACAAACATTTATTTGCAAATGAAAACAGATGATGACTTGATGATTGCTGTTAATGAAAGTTGTACCAAATGATGACCAAAAGAACGATGTCAGTGCCCTCTTGCATGCAGTTTAAATAAGTCATTCCTCATGCTTTTTGATTACAGCAGTAGGAATAAAATGCACTTTTTGACAAAACCTCTCCTCTATACTACATATAGTTATTGCAATTCAGCTTAAATATGCTACTTTGTACATCTGTTGAGTGTCTCATATATATCATAGTTGCAATTTCCATATCCATTACTGTAAATTAAGTTTTAATTTGCTATTTTTTTATTATTATTAAATAGGCATGTATTTCTTGGATTCACAAGGGATGGCCATTTTCTGTTGTCATATACTGTTCAAGTTGAGGTTGATGTGAATACATCAGCACCTTGTTATATATATCAACTACATTGGTGGCATTTTATGCCTTATCGCCCTTTGAAGAAAGTATGTATGTATAAATTTAAGATTTCTTTTTAGTCTTAATATTTAAATTTAAATTATGATTTTTAAGATGTCAGAAGTACGCCTGTTTGGAGAAAATGAAATTAACCAGGATTTAAGAATTGTGGTTTGTCAGTGGCCTATGGATGAAGAAAATATATTGATATATGGTTGTTGGTGAGTATAATTGTTAAATTTAAATTAGAATAATTTATTACTTGTTTTTAGGTTAATCTTCATAATTATAATTCCTGAGATTTATTTAAAATTTATTATTTTTAATCTGAAATATTTTAATCAATCCTAAATGAACATGACATNAAATAATTGGCTTTATATTCATGACTGAGGTATTGAAACTAATGATGACATAAGCCCATATTTGACACACAAACTTATTGTCATCATAATGTTCTTGGAGGATGTCTTTTCATAACAATGTTAGTGTAAGTCCATATCAAATATCAAAGATGAGCCAAATGCGAGATTCCTCATGATCTTACTTCTCTTAGCACTCAAATGTATAAACAGTTACTCAAAAGCAAGATAATAGGCTCACACCATCATTGTTTCAATGTTTCTATTATTATAATTCTTTATTTCCTAACTTGGCACTGTAGCCTCCATCTCTTCTTTTTCTAAGATTAATCTGAAATATTTTAATCAATCCTAAATGAACATGACATGAGATATTGATTTTATCAACCTATCAGAAAAACTGGATGTAAAAAAATTACATCCAGTCTCAAAGAAGAAAAAAATATTACTGATTTAAATACTAAACTGATCAAAACTTTTCTTTAGCGTACGGTTTTAAATGAGAGCTAATACCACTTTTGTCTGTAAGGATTAGATAATAAAGTAAAATGAATGGATAAAATAACATACATTGAAAGAAAGAGAACAAAAAAAACTTACTTTAGCAGAAATATGCCAATCATTTTCCTTGTGAGAAAAGGTCAGAGTTAAGAAAAATTGTATAAGAAGTCTAACTAAGGTAACAAGAAACTTATTGTTCATTTCTTTAGCATCTCTAATAGCTGGTCAATTCTTTGAAACTAAGTTGAAAATGAATTGTAATTCATTTTTAGTTTTTAAGATCTGAAAGGTTCCAGATTTTGAGTTGTCTAAATTTTAGAATTAGTGCAGTTGACATAAATATTAATTTATATAATCCTGACATTTTTATTTCTTCAATTGTAGCACTTCTTCTGTCCAAGATGCAGTTCAGTGTTACTTAACAATAACAGCACAGCCTTCTCTTCAGCAATGTAGTGATTGTATGACATTAAAAGATAAACAGAACAGAGATGGTAAGTATTTATTATCGATGATAAAAGCTGATGAATTATTTTACTGAAAAATTTCATTGAAACATTTTTGATTTACGTGTAATCAACCATGCTTATAATAGATTAATTGATCTTTGGACTCAGACAGGAATATTATGAAATGAATATAATCATGTTAATTTCAAACATTATGCACAGTAAATATGAAAACACAAAACTGGAAAAACATTGATTTAACAATCAGTTTAGTTTGTTTGAAAACAAAAATCTTAATTGAAACTAATAATGTAATGCTTACATTGCAATGTTAGATACAGGTATACCTTGCCTTATGTAGGTAATTGGTTCCAGGAGAGGCAACTTAAGTCAAAATGACCTAAGTCGAATTTACTTGTTTCCAAATTTACTTGTCACTAGGCTAAGCCACAAATAACCATTCTTAGTTCTGTATTTTATTTATAGATGCATTTTTAATAATATATGGTTAATAAGAATCTATTTTAAGCTTACAAACAAATAAATTTTAGTTTTTAATATAGTACAGAAAAAAGTAATCTAAATTTACGAATTCATGTACGTACAGTACATACTTGTAAATGTACATGTTTACAATTTGGTGATGTTTACAGTACATTGCAGACTCTTTATTTGTGAATGTGGTTTGCTCTAAGACATTATTAAATAAGATGATTTTGTAAGGTTAAATAACAAATACAGTTATTAAAATTATCTTGCGACAATAGAAAATAAACTAATTTATATTAAATTTACCAATATCGAGTGGCACTGGCAATGACGCCAAACGGTAGATATTGGAGCTACTGTGGAAAACATCAATATTGAGCACTTAAAGACCGCTAAATAAGACAACACAGAAACACAGATGTTTTCATGTTTTGTTCTCTAGGATTTATGATGATTATATTAACATTTACTGTAAATGTACATATTTTAATATGATTTTATGTGCTTTAATGTTTTTCTAGTAATATTACGACTTCAATATTTGTGGCAGACGGACGTAAAGTCGAATAAAATGACTTAAACTTGATATTCATTTTTGCATATATTTTTTGACAAATGATATATAATCAAGAACGACGTAACTCTAAATGATGTAACTTGAGGTATACCTGTATAATTAATTCTTCAGTTTCTTCTATTTGAGAGTTAATATTTTAAAATGATTACAAGTACATAAATGAAACATAACTATATATATTTTCATCTCTGTCAATAGATTATATAACGATTTTAATATAAATAGGAAATAATACAGTAGAAGCTTGCAAATATGGAAAAGAGAAATATATTGAAAAATAAGGTTTTGAAAAAAATGTACAAATAAAAACATAGCAGAAAGAAACATTTCTGATCTATGTTTTTCTTGGTGTATCTCCTTGATAGAATCAATTAAAATGAAAGTGGGAGTAAGCATAACTGCTGAATTTCTTCTTTGCAAATGATCTGGCATTTTATTTTTATATTCAAGAAACCAGGACTGTGAAGTGAAGTTGGACTATGGACACAAACTCCAATCTTCATGTAAACTTGTATTTAAACTGTAGACTTAAAATCTGTTTTTAAGTCACGCAAAGCAAGATTCGAACTGGATAACAAAACAAACCTTCAAACATTCAGTAGACATTTAATGGTAACTAACATTTTCAAGTGTAATGATGTTCATTAGATTCAAATCTCAAAACAAAAGAACAGAACATGCAAATTTATGCAAATTTTATTTTTATGCAGATTTTATTTTTATTCAACTTTTATAATTAAACACCAAATGGCATACAAAAACTTCTGTATTAAAATAAACAATTATACAAACAAATCATCAAACTTCAAATTTTTTTTTCTAACTGCTTTTTCAGCAAAGGATAAAATCATAATGAAATACTAATTGTCACTAAACATGTTCAAATAAGTTATAAATCTCAGCTAAATATTAAAATTTATTTGAGGGATGTAACAGCCTTACGTGCAAATTCTATGAAATTTTTAAAAGTTGATTTTCTGGAAAAAGAAAAGTGAATGTTTTTTTCTCTTAAAATTAACATTATTGATAAATGGAGATTTTTAAAAAAGCAAATTTATTTGATTATGTTAAATCAAAACAGTGTGTAAAAAATTCCGTACATTGTGTAAAAAAACCATATAAAACAGAATCGAGTTTACAGTAAATCACCATTAATTCTTACTGTGCGTAACTTGCACAAATTTTTTTCAAAATTGACAATAATTTTAAATTTATCAATAAGAGAAAAATTATAATTAATGAGTAATTGACAAGTAATTACTAAAGACTGTATATTGCTGTATACTGTGTTATGAAATTTTATGAGTTTATTTCCCATAATAAATTTAGTGGTATAATTTAATAAAGCTCAGTAAAACTTCTGTATAGAACTGATGATAAATTACTGTATTGTAAATCCAATTTCTTTTTTCCGTATCAGAGAAAACACCCTGCTAACTTAGACTTTTGTAGCCCTTATTAGTCTGTATTTATAAGGTTTATCCCTACTAACTCAATTAATAAATTATTAAGATAAACTACTAATTTTATTTATATGACATTATATTTGAAGTATATTTGTGCTTGCTAGTTTACTTTTCACTCATCAGATGGATTTAGAAGGTTTTGACTAAAGTAATATCTCAAATTGATAGAATTAAATTATTGAACACTCAGCACAGAATATCTTCTATAAATGTTTACAATTATGTATATGTGTTATAAAATTCTTTGTAAGTGTAAATAATTATTTATATCACTTACATTTTTAATTGAAAAAAAAACTTTTTAAAACCAAAAATAAGTTGAATAATAATTGATATGATTAAAATATATTTCACCCATGATCACATGCAATAGTGAGAATTTTCTGTACACATTAGTTTTTCATGTTCATTTTTCACCAAATTGACTGACTTAGCTATGCTTCCATGATATCCTCAGGCTATGTGTTATCCATCTGACTGTGTAAAAATGTGATAAAAATATATTTTGCTACCAAATCCTCAAAAATCTGCTGCAGAAAATCACTGCCTTATGTATGCAAGCGCGCACAATTTTTCTTTATTGTCACGTGATCACATGAAAAAGCAGAAATTTTCCATTCTGATGTCAATTTCAGTTACCTGATGACATTATTGAAAATGATGTCATGGAGGTCTCTCATGACTGCTGCAATAGGTAGTCATGACATCATGGATGTTTGTCAGCTAAACATGATGTAATGACATGCATGGTCTTCAAGTTTTTATGATCTTGAATGCTTATCTATAAGAAAGTTTAGGGCAATATGAACTTCAATGATTTAAAGGTTTTTGTGGCTTTATTTTGTGCTGAAAAATATAAAAAAAAGAAAAGTTTTCTGGTCTTGCTGAGAAACACCTCATTTTTTTTGTTATTTATTTCCAGCTGAATTCATTTTGCATTAGTGATATCACAAAGTTTGAAGGGCTTCATAAGATATTTTTCTCTGAACAAAACAATATCTCATAAAGTAAATAGTGTATGATCTTGAAATTTGGCACGTATACAGAAATTACAGGATTTTTTTTAGAATTGTGAAATTTGATGAATGGCAATTATTTGTAGCATAATTGCGTGTGAAAAATCAGCAGAAAATTACTGCCTTATGCATGCAGCTGTGTTAAAAAACCACATGTGATCATGGGTTAATGTTACTTATATATATATATATATGTTACCGCTAAAGCTCGAAATCTGTTAATGTGTACATTACCTAGCTAATCTGCAGATTAACTAGGGTGATCTGTTAAAGCTGCGAAAATTGTTCAATTTCTCAAATTACCTAGGTAATGTTCAGATTATCTAGGCAATCTGCACATTAACGGCTTCCGTATCGTTAAAGTTCAAAAGTTTCTTTCACTTCCTTTCCCCACTCCTTCTTTTTACGTAGATAAATTTAAATCCTAGAATGCAAGCAAGCACCGAATTGGTGAGTAAAATCAAGAAAAGATTCTTCGCAAACCTCTTTAGCGAAGATTTAAAATATAATACGTAGTGTTTTAATAACAAACCAAAGTATGATTCCATAATTGAAGATGTAAAGCAAATAAAAGTTTCCAAGAAGAAAGAATCATCTCGAGATTATCAAATAATTCAAAGGTGTGATGTGTTGACTGTACGAGGCTGTGAAAAACTCATTGAGCCGTTGTCAGATGCGCGAGAAAGGTTTGAAAAAGTTTGTCCATGCCGGAGAATTGTTTGACATTCGATAAAAACTGAAGAAGACCTTGAAAAATTAGAAGATTCACAAGAGACTGTGATTATGAGATCACAGTCAAATCTTACTCAAGAGGACATTCCGTTATCCCCCGCTTCTACAGAATCACCTATAGAAATACAAGAATTTACCGATAGTAATCTTAAACTGCCTTCTATACCGTTGATTGATGATGCAGTCACGAAGAATATTCAGTTACCCTGCACCTCCAAGGAATCGCCTCTGCAAGTTGAAGAAGTCATCACTGAGTTACTCTCAACTTCAGCAGAATCGCCATCACAGTTTCGTACGGAGCCTGTAAAGAGCACTATACAAGACATAGTCTGTATTGTTTGCTCAAAAGCAGCATCAAGTGCTCACAAGTGTAAATCGTGTAATATGTTTGTTCACGCAGTTTGTGGTGAAGTAGATCCTAAAGAGGAAGGGTATGGTAAGAATGTATTGTGCATCATCTGTAAAAAGAATATGGATCAGAAAATACAGCGTGATGAAGCCAAGAAATGTTTAGAAAAGCAAGCAAAGAAAATGTTAGCAGTTTCTAATGCAAAGCACCCAAACGTCGATGAAGGTTTCGCTGTGAGAATTAAAGTACCCGAAGAAGACAGAGCAAAAACTGATGCACGTTCAATTTTAGCTGTGGTTCTTAGTAAAACAGAGGATGGCTTTTATAAACTTGATACTAAAACAGGTATTTTAAAACAATTGTATGCAAAATCTGAATTCAGTGTTTGCAAAGAGAGATTTTTAACGAAAGAAGATGGATGTCCCTGCTGTAGAAATATCTTTACGTCAAACAGCAATAAAACAATCCCTTGGTACTGGGCAGGGTTTCAGAAAATGTGACTGCAAATCTAAATGTACCACAAATAGGCGTGCTTGTCGCAAAAACCAATTGCTACGTAATTCAAAGTGTCACCAATCTTTAGATTGCACTAATAAGTAAGTACAATTTTATCATATGTTTTGCAAATTCATTTCCCTAATTGTAGTAATATTTTAAACCGTTTGATTTTTGTATTAAAGTTTTTTTAATTGATTGATGATTGATTCAATCAACTAATTTGTTGATTGTATTAACTTGATTCTTTAGATATTGAAAATTAAATAAATAACATTATGTTAATTTAAGCGTACAGAAACGTTGCTGTTGTTCCAGCAAAAATCTTATTTTCACTTTACCGAGTGCCTAGTAGGTAATTTGCAGATTACCTAGATAATCTGAACATTACCTAGGTAATTTGAGAAATGTAATAATTTTCGCAGCTTTAACGGATCACCCTAGTTAATCTGCAGATTAGCTAGGTAATGTACACATTAACGGATTTCGAGCTTTAGCGGTAACATATATATATATACATCATACACAGCTACTCCCCAACTTATGTGTAATACTTAATTTATGTAAGCTTGGACCTTGCATGAATTTTTGTTATCCATTGCCAACTTAAAAATGTCTGGTAATATATTTTGCATTCCTTAGGAAATAAAAAGGATGTGTCTAAGACAGCAAAAGTATGCAGAAATATATAAGATAAATGCCTTAAAAAGTACATAGAACATTCATTGTATAATTCATCTCTGTTTTAAATGAAATGCTGTAGATGTTTTATAAGATGCTTATGTTCCCACATATTCATAGAATTTGTTACCTGATACACAGCCAGCAATTGACTAGTAGTTGATATCTCTTGATTAACACCAGTAATGAATTAGAATGCTTACTTTACTAGTATTTAAACAATTAAGATCTGTGGGTTGTGCCCTCAGTGTTCTTTATAACTTTGTATCAATCATTCCATTATTCTTTTTATTTCAAAGTACATTTTGAAGCACACTTTTGTAATTTTTCCTACATATGAGAAAAAATTTGAATAAAGAAAACCTATTTACATGTTTAAAATTGGTAACTTCAACTTACTCCACTCAAATAAAGTTATGGAAAAAAATAATCCATACATAACTTAGGGAATGGCTGTTCATATGTTTTTTGTAACTTGACTAATTCTTTTTGTTTTTTCTTTTTACAGAATTTTTATGTAATGAAGGAAGCCATACCATTCGTTGTTTGAAACATTGTTTTACTATTCATACAAATTTCATACTTGTACCTCCATATCCTTCCTTCAGTCCCTCCATATGCATGAAAAAAGATAAGATGGTGCTTATTAATACTGGTGACAATATTGTGTCTTTGAGCATTAGTGTAGAGACTCAGATTTCTTCATCCGCTCAGTCTCATCATTCATGTGATCTCAATAAGCCTAACAATTCAACGTGCAATCTAGACAAGATTAGGAAAAATATTTCAAACAAAACTGAAACATTAATATGTTCAGGAACACAGAAGGAAAAAAGAAATATGGAAGACAAACAATGCTCGGAAACTGATAACAACAGTATTTCTAAAAACAAAAAAACTTCTTGTCAAAGCGAAAATTCATTACATTGTTGCCTAAGTGAAAATCATCTAGACTGCGCAAACAGTATTTCTCCATCCGACAGGAAGTCCGACCAACAGTTTAATGTAAAAAGTAATGACATAACATGTGATTTAAAACAGTTATCTGAAGACGGACTTTTCTTTAGCAATCATAAAAAGACCACAAATACTGATCATTCTATATTTCTTCATGAAAAATTTTCAGAAAGCATGTTTCAAAATGAAGATAATCAAATATATAAGCAGAATTGTAGACAGATATACACAAAAGACAATAACATTCATAAAACCAATAATCAGAACTCTGATCAAGATAGTTCATCAATGTTACCTGTTTCATCAAATTGTGGAAAATTTCAAAATATGCCTTCTTTATCATCAAATGAAAAAACGAAACGTACAGTATCAGAAGACTGTGAGAAAACATCAATTGATAAAAGAAGAAAATCTTCTGATGTTAAATATTCAAATGATTTAAACGTTAATCATTCTTTATACTGTGGAGAATCAGATTTGATGAAGACTGATCATCGATGTAATGATAAATCAGAATTTTTAAAAGTAAATCATTCATTTCCATTAAAAAATGTTGATGAAGCGATTAAAGAAAATATTTCACCTGATCCAAATAAAAACTGTGCTTGTTGTGAATTATATAAATTTTCATTAGAAAATTCAAGTGAAGTTTCAGCAAAAAATAGAACTGATTTTGCATTTTGCACATCACATAATTGTAGTGTCACAAATAACATTAAATTGAATCAGATGTTGTTCACAAAAAAGTGTGTTTCGGAAGCCATTCATCATTTTATGCAAGATGACGATTTCACTAGAAGTAATATAAGAGATGATGCAGGTAATTAAATTTAAATTAATTAAATGTAGTTTATTTTTTTATTTATTTTTTAAATATGAATTTGGCAAATATCTTGAATCCAAGGTTAACAAAATGCCTAATACATTTATAGTACCTAATAATATCTTATTTTATGTTTATTTTCAAATTCATTTATTTTAACTGTTATGTATTTCAATTGAAATTATTTATTAGGATAATAAACTTTATATTAAATTAAATAACTTATAAAATGCTACTTTTATTTAGATCTAAGTTTTTGATATCTAATAAAATGATATATTTATGAGGAAATAACTTGTAAAAATTTTTATGAGTATATTTATAAGTCATTTCTTTAAGAATACTTCATTTTATTAGGTATCAAAAACTTGATTCTGAATAGTAACATTTTATAAGTTGATCAATCTTATATTAAATTAGCTATCTTAATAGATAATTTACATACAGAAACAGATGATAATGCATAACATTGTAAGTACAGCTATTATACCTGCTTTTAGTTTTTAAATTATCACTTAATTATGAAAATAGGATAGGATAAAATATTTCAAGAAAAGATGTACTCTGTTAAGAGATTTTTCGTAATAAATATTTGTCATAAATGATAGAATAAACTATTCTAACTTAATTGAAATTTATCAGTTGGCTGTAAAAAACAAACTCAAAAAATTCAAATACAATATGTGCCACATAGTGTAATTGCAGATATTGTCATCTAATACAGTGAAACCTCGCTTAATGAGCATAATTTTTCCAGAATCATACTCGTAATGCAAAACAATTTTTTCCATAGAAATTAATGTAAAATACAATAATGCGTTCCACGCCAAAAAATTACTCAAATATTTTTATGTATAACGTTTATTCAAAGAAAACTGTAGAATGTGCATTGTTAAGGAGCATGAATCATCATTGTCTTTCCTTCTAGTGCGAATTAACCAACCTGGAATGAGAATTCGATTTGCAGAAAACAAAAAAAATCGCAGCTGATATGTCTGATAAACACACCAAACGATATGCCAAATTCTTGAGCTATGTAAAGGCTATAATTAAATAATAGAAATTAATTTATTTGACTAGAGGTAGACAGTTTTGCTTCCATCCAATTCCAAATTTAATAATTATAAATAGTTAATTTTCAGACATTTTTAAAATTTAATTTGGAATTGGTCATTAAATTTAATATGAGATGGCAGCATAACTGCCTACTTCTAGTCAAATTAATTAATTTCTAATATTTAATTATAGCCTTTACATAGCTCAAGAATTTGGCATATTGTTTGGTGTGTTTATTATATAACAGGCTATGGTTGGTGATGTTTAAAGTAATATGTGTGAACACAAATTTGGAAAAATATGTGATCACAAGCGATACTAAGATGCTAGTGGAATGAGTGCTAAACTCATAGTGCACAGTTCGGGACTTTTCCTCTCCTCGTCACTCATTATACGAAACATCGCTTGTTAAGCGAGGAAGTTTGTTACAATTTGTTTTGCTTGTTATGCGAGGTGCTCATCAAGCAAAGTTCCACTGTATTATCAAAGTCAACATGCCACAAACATAAATTAAGTAACATTACAAAACTTTTGCTTATAGTAGTCAGAATTTTAATTATCATTATGTTACTAATTAGTTTAAATTAACTTTGTTAATTACAGCCAGCTGATGAAACTGATAATGGTTATAAGCAATATTGTTCCAATAAAAAACATTAACACAGTGGTTAGAATCAATTTAATTTAAATCTAATTATATAAGATGTTTACTTTTAATACATTAAACATTTGTTTTAATCTTGCACTTAATACTGTATACAGTACAGTAGTTTAAATTTTGAATTCTGAACTTGTTACTACATTTGTAGGCTAGCTGTTCAATGTTTTTGAAGATTGATTTTTATTAGCTTGCTGTTTTGTTTAATTACAGTATTGTACTGTATTTCTTAGCATAATAGAATAAGGGAAAATAAATGTAAACATTTGTCCCTCAAAGATAAACTTGTATAGAATACTATTATTAGTTACCAAAAATGAGTCAGTGTAAATTTTAGCCAATTCTGTTCAGGATTTGAAAAACCAGATGAATATTGAAATGTGATATTTCTGTGTCACATGTCAATAAAAACTGAGAACATGATTCCTGAGAAGAATCAAATTAGAATAGATAGTGAAGTTGAGTTAACTTTAAACTTTCAGTTTAATGTCATTTATGAAAATAATGCAGATGTTAATGAGTCACTAATACATCATGAAGTAGAAGAATTAATTAAAAATATGGGAAAGATTTTCTTGCAACTAATGGGTGGTTCAGTTTGTGGAGAAAACAAAAAATCATTGGGTACAGATGCAATCATGGCAGTGGTGGATTTCTGTGCAGGCACACACCTCGTGTGCCTGCGCAGAAATCCACCACTGCCATGATTAATATAAATAAATCAAGTGGCCCCAAAATTCAGCTCTCAAAATAAAAAAACTTATTTTATTTAATTATTATTTTTTCATAATAAAAATAATTAATAATTAAATTATTTTTATTTATTTTTNATTTAATTATTTAATATTTAATTATTTTTATTTATTTCATAATAAAAATAATTAATAATTAATTATTTTTATTATGAAAAAAATTTAGTAGTATTCCTTAAATTAAATTGACAAATGTATAACATATTAGTAGTAAATTTAAAAATAAATTATTTTCTATATCCATGGATTACTAGATATTTTTTTTTTGTCTTTAACACTTTTACCTATTGAAACTTAATAATTCTTGTATCACAGCATTACATGATAACATGATAACAACCCAGGATATCTTCAATTAAAAATTGAATTATGACTATTTTTGTAAATAGTCATAATTCTATTTTTGTAAATAGTCATAATTCAATTTCTAATTCTTGTATCAATAAGTTTTAATTTTCATAATTAATACAATCTTAACATCAGTATCAGTAATCTTTTAAATGCAGCCAGGCAGTTGTAATTTTATATTGGTTAATTTTCAATGTTGTTCTGTATGTCTCACTTTTTGTGGACCACTGGTATAGTGCCTATCAGAGTAAAAAACATGAATGTAGAACGCACACTGTAGAGTGTAGGTGTAGTGAAAATATTTAGAGGGGGCCTCAAAATGAATCATGCCTGGGGCCTCTCAAGTGCTAAATCTGCATCTGATTCATGGTGAGTAGAAAAGTTATGATTTCGTATGAGCTGAAATAGGGATAAAGTCAGAGTGACCAAAAATTATTATTGAATATTCACAGAGGAACATGTACTGTACAATGCAGACATAACAACACTATATTTCAAATAATTAACAACAGTAGTAATTCAAACACAAATAATTATCGTATTTATTTTCAGGCACTTGGCAATTCTTATCATCAAGTTTTTATTCAGTTGATACGTGTTGTTATTACACACGTTTCGGGCATTTATTGCCCTTCTTCAGCCAACTTTTTGATTACAGGTTATCAAGATATTAAAAACCACAGGTTTCATCGCTTATGTTACAAAAATTTTCTTGGCGCTTAACACACATTAATCTAATTATCTGTTTTTCGTTGTTATAAAATCTAAACACTTTAAAATTTTTCTTATACATTTACAACAATATTAAAATTGACATATTTGTCTTTCAAAATCATGCAATTTTCTCTTTTTGCAAACTATTGGGATGACCTTTCCTCCCCCTCTTCTTTCCCCCAGTTAAGCGTACCTGGTTACTATGGTCATATGACTAGCAGGCCACCTTGTGGCAGTATTACTTTTTTTACCCGAAACGTGTGTAATAACAACACGTATCAACTGAATAAAAACTTGATGATAAGAATTGCCAAGTGCCTGAAAATAAATACGATAATTATTTGTGTTTGAATTACTACTAATAACTACAAGCACGGTTTCAAAAGTACCAAATTAACAACAGTGTTTTTCTGTGCAATACCTGATTATCACTTTCATGTTTAAACATAAAAGTATAAAAAATTTAAATCACCTAAAAAAGCATATTATGGTTCTTTATCGTACTTACTTGCAAAACCCAGAAACATAGATTATTAGCCATTGGAAAAAAGATATTTTAAAGATGTGAAATAGTAATCCACTTGTAAGGTGGATTACTGTCAAATGCAACTGCTTGGATGACAGCTGACTTTTTTAACAACTAGTTATGTTAGTCTGATTAATAAATTGAGATATAAACTTAAAATAAAAGAAGCTTCATTAGTAGAAAATTGTACAAGAACATTTATGTATTAATAATGTGTCATTAAAAACAATAAAATTACATTACTTTTGTGAATACAATATTATTTATTCAGTCATAAGACCATGTCCAGCATTCCAAAAATTCCTACCCAAGGCAAGCCAAATTTATGCTGTTCATTTTTGCAGTTTCTGAGAGGGTAAGTGCAAAGGAAAGGTAATACTTTTTATAGATACATAGCAATGGAAACGAAATAAAATATTGCAAAAAAATTATTATGTACATACAACTATTTATTAGAGACAGAAAACAGAATGAAAACTATTCTAACATAAAATTTTATTTATTACATATGTATGTTTAAATAATACATTAAAAAAACTAAATTTTGTGTAAATCTTCTGTGCACCTTCTCTTTGCCAAATTTATCTATAATAATAATTTTTGTTTTGTTTTAGTTACTATCCCTTGACTCTGGTCTGGCATAGTACACAACAGTCAATGTAAACAAAGTATAAACTGAACATAATGATTATAATGAAATTTTCTGTTCAATTATAATATAGCTAGTTCTTTCAATCTTTCCTGTGAAATTGTAATGTAAATGATTTTTAAAACAATTTTAATTTTGGGAATGATCATTCTCTATTACAATGGATATAGGAAGGTTAAAGGAATTTTCAATGATATAAAAACATTTGGAAAATTTTTATTAAATTATTTTTGTCAATATAAATTCTAGTGGAAACAAAGATTTTTAAAATATTTCTATTTATTATTGAATAGCTCTATATCACAATTGTTATTAACCATTAATCCTGTAAGTAAAAATGACTTCAGAATGTTTATCAGCTAACAATTATTGTGATTCTCCAATTGGGTAAATCTATCTTTTATGGAATTTATACAAATATTCACTAAATATCTAAAAAAGCTTACTTCAAAGCTTTTGTAGTGGTCAGTGATTGGTGTATCTTCTTCATAATCATATTATTTCTTTTTATGCCAAATTCTGATCTGAAGTTTAAGCTTGAAATCTAGAGATGTTTCCGTCACAATAGCTATTTCTTTGGCACAGTAGAGCATTTGCTGGAATCTACTGAGATGACATTCCTCAAAAAATGAACAACAGTTTTTAATATTCTGATGCATTTGATATTTATAATAATTTTGATGCTGTATTACTTTTAGATAATGCTCATATCAAATAACAACACTGCATACAAATTTAAATTTAGTTATTTTAAATGCCATTTACTTTTGATTTTAGTATCAATGTCTCTTTGCTTCTCACTGTCTGCTGTCAACCCTAATATATAGTGTGTTCTATTTTAGAATATTATGTAGTTTTACCAGATTGAAAATAAGTAAAAATTATTGCATGATTGCATATTTATCACATTTATGCATTTTATTACAGTACAAATGTAAATATCAAAATGTTTTACTGTTTTGTTCTTCAAATCTTAGATCAGTTCACAATATGGTCTTAAATTATTTGACACTGAGATATTGTTTACAAGTTTGCACTTCAGTTCCATACAGTAGAAACAAACTATGTGCTTAATAAATGTGCAAACAAAGAAAACTGGTTAAATCATTAAAGTCATGGTACAAGACAGAAACATCATGTTCTACATTGGATTTAATATTACTGTACTTTTTTGAAATTTATTTTATCTTTCATTTTATTTCCCCCATCACATAGTGATTGGAGCAATGCTGTGATTGTGAATAACAGTGATCTGCTTTCCATTGCAGTTTCAAAAATGTAATTTGATAACAGAAAAGCACACATCTTTCCTATTCTTACCAATTTAGTTTATTCTAAATCATTTCCTTGCCTAGCATTCTGGCATGTAGATAGCAAAAACACTATTTGAAGTAGGTACCATATTTAAAATAATAAGAAAAATGTTAAATTCAGTCAACCAGACAAATTCTGATTAAAAAGTTTGTTTTGGTTGCCTGAATTTAGCATTTTTCTTATGGTTTTAGTCTCTTCTGTAATAGCACGGAGAGCAGACATAATATGATAATTTTAGTATGAAAAACAGGGACAAACAGTAGAGAAATTGTTTTTCGTTTTGTACGAGCTTGTGCACTAGATAAGAAAATTCAAACATTTAAATGTTCTAAAAGAAAGTTTGTTATAGAAAGTAAAAGCAGTATCATTGATTTTTCTGTTCCCGAGGAAGAGCATTCAAATTGGCCGAAAATGTTTGAAATACGAATAAAAAGGCTTCATTTTAAAGGTTTTTGTTTTGAGGTATAAGTTATGATTTTAGTTTATTCTTTCCAAAAACAAAGCTACAACTGTTTAGACAAACAACAAATCATGTTATATTTATCTTGAAAAATTGTCAAATATTAATCTTTCTTTCATTTATCATTTACAGTTAATATTTTTCAACAGTAACTACTACAAAATTTTGCAAAGCAAATTTTTAATATTTCTCTGTTGTTTTAAATAATAATAAAATTTGAGTAAAAAATATGAAATTGTATTTTAAATCAAAAGATTAAAAATTTTTATACTTTTGATTTAAATATGATTTCTTTAATCATAACATAGCAGTCTATTTTGCAACAGATTTCTAAGTTAAAAAAAAAAGTGAAACTTTTAAATCAAAGATATTAATATTTGACTATTTTTTATTCACATCAAAATTTTGTACAATAAAGTTTAGATATTTATGACAGGACAAACTTTTGCCAATACATTGATTTTTGGAAAGGATGATATAAAGAAAATATTATTTATTACATAATTTATACAGGAGATTTAAATGTTATTGGAAGCTTCTATGCATTTGGAGCTAGAACTAATTTAAAATGACTAACAAGTAAGACAAAATCTTTCTCACTTTGTTTCTAGCCATTTAAACACTGAGTTCAAATGTTTTCAGCCTTCTTAAAAGGCCTTTCTCAGGTACACTGTGGTCTGTTGGAACGTCAGTTGGTAGATATTCAAACGGTGTCACTGTTTACATAGGTTTTGTCTTACCAGTGACGTCATCATTGCTGATAAGGTTTAGATGATATTGAGGGCATTAAATTTTCTTTTGATAAAAAATTTAAGGTGTGTGGACGACTATTGATGAGATAATTGCTAAAGTTGGAGAAAATAAAATTGGAAAATACATGCGCTAAGTAAAGAAGGTGCACTAGAGACTGTGACAGGCTTGCTGAGTGTGGATTGGCCTACTTA